TTTGTGTGCGGTACAGACAAAGGTAGATGGATAACCCGGCCCTTTTCACGCCGTTAATGATGGCCAAGGTTCTTTGCGTCATCGGCTTTCTTCAAAAAAATGATGTTCCTCAACTCGGCTGCGTAGAAAATAAATGATCATTTTTTTGAAAAAAAATACGACGCTCCCGCCATATAAATTCTGCCCGAATGCAATAGACTCCACCCCCCTCGCCCCCTCCGCGTGTCACAAACACACCCTCACCCCCAACGCGGAGCCAGTTCATCACCCTCACTGACGCAGCAAATTTAAGTCTCCCAGTTCTACACGTCTCGGCGCCTGGATCCACCTTCACTCATCATGAGGCATCTCAGGCTGGCAGGTGAGGCCGTTGCTCGGGCCCGCATTTTTTAGTTGGACGTAAAAAGTCATAAAAGACGAGGATGATGGATGCATTTTGAAATTTTACTGCTAATCATGTGTCTCCCAGTTCTAATTAGAAACTTGTTTGCATAAACCATTACCACCAGCTTGCCCCCCACTAATTTGATGTGCCTTCATTATTGTGTGTGTGTGTGTGTGTGTGTGTGTGTGTGTGTGTGTGTGTGTGTGTGTGTGTGTGTGTGTGTGTCTTTCAGCAAACTCTGCAGTGAGAACCTTGGAGGCAAGGCCAAGCGTTTCAATGCCAAACTGTATTGCAGTTGCAGTTATTTTTTTTTCTGACGTTGTCGTTATGTCGAGGACAAGTCGTTCGGATTTTGCGGCAGGCGCACTCACACGGCGTTGAATACGCTTCCCCTCGCTCCCCGCCGTTTGTTTGTTCGAGTTTGACTTGCCGCGCATGCACGGCAAATTCTCCCGCTAGCAATTAAGATAATAGAAGACAAAATTGACATTGTGGCGCTAACAGTGCCCCATGGCTGCGTTGTAGCTCAGGCTATTAAACAACAGGCGCAATTACCTGCCTTGCAGACGTCAGGACACGAGGGTGTCACTCTGAAGACACTTGTCTCTCATCATTTGTTTACACTTGGGCGTCTCCAGCCGTAGTTTGTTCTATATTTATTTTCCGAGGCTCGTCTGCCCTAGTTTCCGCTATGTTTCTCACAGGTTATAACCCAGTCGTATTTTTCCACTGACGGCAAAATGGTTGACTCACATGGCTTGTAGGGCGGGCAGTGTGATTCAGGTCGCGCTCATTGATGGCGTGAATGGTCTGTCTCTGTACGGACCCTGTGATTGACTGGAGATCCAGTCAAGATTGCGCAATGCAATTTGACAGCGTGCCTGTGCAGGCAAGCGGTTTCCATTTCTAGGCTCTGACTGTATATTTCGAGACACTCGGCCTGCAGCCTTTCATCATCCTATTTTGCAGTTATCAAGTTATCGGGAATGGCCTGATGCTGGTTATCGTTACATACCGTTCTCTGCGCTGAAGATTTTTGCAATTCATATTCACCTTCTCGTAATTCATGCCCCATGCCCCGCCCCCTCCCCTTTCCGCCTTCTTGAACTTTGAAATGTTATATTCATGTGCTATTGAAATGAAGAAAAAAGAAGCTCCTGAATTTAAATGCCCGACGTACACTGCCTGAAATGTGTCATATTTTGAAAAGAGAAATTCAGAAGTTGACCTTCCTTTAAAGCCACGCCCGCTAAAGGGAGACTGGCAACATCCTTAACCTACGGTGACAACGTGATCTCGCTCACCGGAAGTTGTTAGCGATTAGCAGTCCATCAGAGCTTTGCGCTATATCTTTTATTGTTATTATTTCTCTCATTCTGAGTTTGTTTTCGTGTACAATTCAGCGAGGGCACTGGCAAAAAAAATGGGAATCCGGAGGGCCGAGAGAAGCATTTAGAAACATGAGCTACGACAGTTAACACTTAACAACTTAGTCGAAAAATAAATGCCCTTTTTGCTGAGGTCTGTAGCAAACACGCGGCATCTGGCTGATGATTTGCAGGCAGTGGCAAATCCGTCGTGCCCCAGAGTTTTATTTATGATGTTTTATTCTGACACGTTTGACCTTAATCGTAAAACTGCAGTTCCAGCGATTTGGATATTGCACTTTTGTCACATTTCAATCAGATTTTGATTAATCGTTCAGTGCCAGGCACCGATTCACACTTTTTTTTTCCCCATTTCATTTTATTTTTTGTGTTAAATCTGAGTCTTTCACATCCGTCCCCGAGGAAAAAGGCTGAAAATATGTTGCGAACCGCTCGCCAGGCCAAGAAAATAGCCAGTAAAGCTGCTTAGAGTTTATTTGTGGGCAAAGTGTGGTGGCAACAGCTGCTGCTAAATTGCAACGCTTTTAGACACCATATTGCCCAGAAAACTATCTGAGGGTGTTGCCACCTTCGCCGTTACTGTCGAGGATGAGACATTGCTACTAAAAGTGGTCATGTGCCTCGACAGCCAACATTTGATTGAGATGAGATTTAATGAGGTTTTCGCCCAATCGTTACCATTTTGGCCGTTTTTGTATCACGGCTATAAAATACTGGAATGCGCAGCAGGCACCGTTTGGGTAATTTGCTGTCACGGTGTGACCTCGAAGACCTCCCAACGCAGTCCGTTTGTTAATACTGGTCGTTAATCACTTTCCGCGCTCACCATCATAAAACTGTTCTCCCCCTTTGTGCCGGCGGTATTTTAAACCACAATGTTCATAAAAAGAGGAGGAAAAAAGGTTCTCTGTTAATGCTCTGGTCGTTGTCATTGTTTTTCCCGTTTCCTCCTCCTCTTCTTTGATGCTTTTGCAAATTGTGGGTATAAGTCAACATGTGGAGTTTATCCTTATGATTAAGCCGAAATCTCGTAAGAGTGCTGGAAGATTTTTTGCGGTCTCGTGTGACATAATGCATTAACGTTTTTTTTTTTTTTTGGTTTGTTTGTTTTTTTTTAATCCTCAAAGTCTTGGCCAATTTCCAAACGGTACATCTGCCAGGTTTTTGACTTTTTTTTTAGTGGTGTTGTGGGATCAACATAACGTTGGATTAAAATAAAACACGCATTGGCATTTTCAAAATATTGCGTTGCGTCGGCATACGTGAGGAGTGGGGGGGGGGAAAAAAGATATTCAAGCTGGAGAAAAAGCTCCCATGGCTGAGCCAGAGCGGTCATGTTAGTGTAATGGAAGCCATCCTCAGCTGAGCTCCATGCATAATTCAGCGGCGGACCTCATCTCGTCGCTTATTGCCGACTGAGCCAGCCAAGCCTTGGTGATGGATGACCTCTGTTGCCAGCTGACTCACATCGAAGATTCACTGGCAGGACCGAACACAGGTCATCGCCGATGACCCCCCGCGTACCGCTATCCGGCCCCCCGAGGCCCTTGCATGTTGGCGTGGCGATAGTGGCGCAATTCAAACACCGTGCCAGCCGACATCGACCTGACAACGCCTGCTGCAGGGTGAAGGTTGTTTTAAAATCCAAGGCGAGATGATCTCCTCGTAATTTCACAGAGTAACACAGAGGAAACATTTTTAAATGGCAGGTGTGCCGTCCTGGAAGACGACGAAGGCTAATTGTATTCTCTGACTCTTTCTGATGATATATAATCTGATTTATTTTTCTTTATTGTCGTCCTAAATTCTATTATCGCCACAGTCCGAGGAAATGCACGTGACTTTGAAGTTTTCTTCACGCAACGGAAGTTAACTTTCAAATAGAAGTTGGAATTGCTCTCGCCGTCAGTGTTATCTTAATATTCCCTCCGATGCCACCTGGCAGCGGCTGTGCGCCTCATCCAGCGGTTTTATATTTAGCGGTTTTAGTGTTCTGAACATAAACCTCATTACGGCTTTCAAACACAGTGAAAAAGACTGCCTTTTTTTGTTAAGTCCCAGTCGTGTATTAGCTTCTGGCGAAGGGCCCTCGCGCAGCTCTTATTTTCCATCATCGCTCAGCACATCCGAGGCCTGCGTTGCTGTAAGAGCAGCGAGGTCAGTCGCAACAGCAGCGGCATTCATGAACAACTCTTCCGATATCTGTGACTGCGCATCTGCAATAGAGGAACGGAAGAGTCGACGTTGACTGTGAACTCGCAAGCACCCGATAACCTGCTGCCTTCATGACCTGACCGCCCTGCAAAGCCATAACAGCCACATTTTTTTTGCCCCCCCACAAACGTCTTCCAAAAACCTCCACGCCTTGATTCAAGTCGTCCTCAAATACCGTGACCTACATAGCTGAGAAACCTCGCAAACATTTTAGCCACGCAGAGGCTCATGCGGTTTGGTCAAGTTCACCACAAAATCGTTTGGAACAGGTTGGCGGCGGCTAAGGAAATCGTTCTCGCGCTTACACACTGTTCACCCAGCATTTGCTGTCCGTTTAACATTCGCAATCGTGTTGCTATGACAAAGCAAGACGGGCTACCGTCAGCCTACCTCCCCGCTGCTGCCAGGCGAACGCCGTCAGGAACGCTTTGCCGCGTGCTGAACTCTCGCCGACAGACCCACGAGCGACTCCGCCGCGTTGTCAATCAAACGCCACCGCCTACCGACGCCTCTCGGTGAAAGTCAAAGACGTTCGGTATTACTCCAGATTGCTGTGGGTACGCGCCGTGGGATGATAGTATGCACACTGGCGCACTCCGCGCTCGTATCTGCCAGTCTTTATCTCGTCGCATGACGGCACCCGGTCGCCTTGGCAAGGCTTTGTCAGTGAAGATGACAGGGAAGGTTGCTTCGTCAACGCGGCATGCGTCCGTCTCCGTTTCCCACCCCCCGCTGCTCGGGGATGAAGGAAAACGATGATCGAGGGATTTTTCTTCCGTTCCCATTGAGCTCGCCGTTATCACCTTGACGGTATTGCGCTTCGTCGTGGCGCCGGGGATGACATTGGGTGCCAAGCATCTGTACAATGTTGGTTTGAGTATCTCGTTTTCCTGTGTCAAGCGTCAGCGGGCAAGAACTGAACATTAAAGCCATGCGATCCTGCTTTGACGTCAGATTGGCTCGAACCAACCCCAACTAACCTCACTCCTGTCGCTCTTGTGTTCTTTCCGCAGGGCACAACTTCAATAAAAGATTCCGAAGGGACTTGAAGGAGTTGGCGAGCCAGCCGGGGAAAGGTTGGCCAACGCCGAGCCGGGCGGAGAGGGCGGCAGTCGGGCCACCGTCAGGCAGACATCTGAAAATGCTCACCATGCTGTAGCGAAAGGAGACAACGCTGGCTCACAGCCTGGAGAGCACCCCGAACCTTTTTTTAACATCCCAGAAATCCTTCCTCTTGTCTACCGTCTGTCCAAAAATGCCAGTGCTAAAGTTGGCACTGCGTTACATGTGGTGACAGGACACTAGTGGGACCGTCAGGTTGCCCAGCGGGTCGTTTGGGGTACGAGCACATCAAGGAGGCAATTTCGGGCGGGCGTGGTCACACCATGCGACCCTGGGCGGGTTCATGGCGTTGGATCACCCTGGTGCTGTTGGCCTGGGGGACGCTACTATTCTACATCGGCGGCCATTTGGTGAGGGACAGCGAGCACCCGGAGCGCTCCAGCCGAGAGCTCTCCAAGATCCTGGCCAAGTTGGAGCGGCTCAAGCAGCAGAACGAAGACCTGCGGCGTATGGCTGAATCGCTCAGGTAAGGGGAACCGAAAACGGATTTGCCAAAGCGAACCTTGATTATTGCTGCACTGTCAATTATTAGTTGACTTGAAATGACAAACATGAGCTAAGCAGCACTCAGTCAATGTCCAATTAATTGTGGGGGGGAAAAAAGTCACAGCCGTAGTCCGCGCTTCACCGCTTCAGCTGATGAGCAGTCTTTGCACAAAAACATTGCGATCCAAAAAGTATTTCCTTGCCTGCCAACTGTTTATTTACGACGAGAACATTTTCATTCATTTCCTTCGGTCCAGCGATTCAGTTAAAAGGCCCCCCCCCCGTGGTCCGATCAGCCATTTGGCACACAAGCGTACGCAGCGATGCGATGATGATGATGACGATGACGATTTTTCTTTATTTCCCTCAATTTGATCCACCTCTGACGGCGTCGGTTTATTCGGCGAGGCACGCGGTCTAACAAACAGATGTCGCCGCAAAAAGTTTCATCAAAAGCCAATCAGCGGTGGCGCAAATACCCCGTGACAAACAGAGATGGATGGTCACACTCCTCAGCAGATTTTAGCGTCGCTTCGGAATACTTTGGCACACTACAGCCTTGTTGTTTAAGCCCATTAACCGCGCTGCGTCTTTCTCACATTCAGGAACTGCGTAATGGAGAGACAGATGGTTCTCCTCCTACTCCCTGTATGCTGACAGTGTTTCTTTTTAACACGTTAACAATAGGTCCGTGTTTTGGTAAAGCTTCCGTGGGTGCGCATGCATGAGCAGGGAGCCCATTGGTGTATCCTGACGTGAGCCGCGTTCACAGGGAGCGCACGCTTCAGATGTTGCCAGTGCCGCGTCTCTGTGATATTCAGATTCACTTTGATGCGGGGCCCTCATCAGTGTTCCCAAACGCTCAAATCCACACGCACACGCCTCGCCGCAGACAGCCGGTCCCCGATTGAATCTATCGCTTTTTGTAATTCTTCACGATTGCCCCAGGCGGCAAAAGGTTGAATTCGTTCGAAAGTAAAAAAACAAGAACGACTTTCAGCCGACCGGAGGTCCAGATGGATCTCTGACACACTGTGTGGTTGTTGCTTATTGCTAAGATTGTATTCACAATTTTGAACCGGGGCTCCGCAGCCGCTTGTTGCTTCTCTTGCAGTCTGCAGCAAAGCCATCCAAAATCACCCAACGCCACCTTAAGCTTGCTGAGCCTGTTTGCCTTACATTCTTAGTCTCAAATGCTGTTTTTCCTCGCCGCGATATCTACTGAGCTTGGCTCGGCTCTCCCCCGCTTGGCGCAGAGTTAGAGCAGTCTGTTTTTCCCTTCCAAATAGTGCGACGCCACGCTGAACGTATCAGAGGAGAAACTCTTTCTCCTGCATGTACCTGTCGACACGCGGAGAGACACATTTTATTCTACCAAAAGGACGACTGCAGCATCCAAACTATTATATTCGATTATGAAACCAAGGCTAAATTTGTTGGCCATTGTTCCAAACTTTAGACGTCTTTATGGAAGCCAAAAAAATGTTAAAGCCTCCTAAATCTTACATTTATTTGAGCTGAATCAGGGACTTTTTAAATGGTGGCTTTGTTTGTGACAAGGGCTCTGCACGAATCTGTGGCGTCTCAAATTGAGAGGCAACTGCACCATTTAAAAACGAATACTAAATCCATTATCATGTGAGGATGAATATTAGCATATTATCGTTATATTCCAGTGCCGCAGAAATATGGAATAATAAATTTATACATACGCGTGTGACGTATTCGAGAGCGACATCCGGCAGTGTTTTCACGTGGACGGGAATATTTAGCCGGCTAATGAGCGTTCTGTTAAACGGTTAAGCGGTCAGTATTACAGCCCATCTAGGCAGCGTATCAAGTTCTTTGGCGTTACTTTGCTGTTAACCTCTGATGCCGTCCTGGCAGTAAAAGGGAGTGTGCAAACTAGGATTCTGGTTGGCTTCATGCTAGCTCGCTGGTATGACAGACGACATGAATGGAAGGCATGGACGGATTTAAAACGTGACAAAAAATCCCAAAACAAAACACCATGGGTTCTGCATTTGCCCATTGTACAGTGAAGGATCCTGGAGGTTAAAGTAAGTTATTTTCAACTAAAAAGGAAAACCTTTCCATCAGCCATATAGTGTCTTGGTCCACTCAGATGTTGAGCACCAAACATGCAGGATAAGCACTCAAGATAACCATTCAGAGATGTCCAAGAATCTCACTTTAATCGCCTGGGTGGGAAAATGCTCACATTTGGCCAGGCTTCCTTTATGTGTGTGGACGACAAGTAATAAAAAGCCTGTCGACAACTCCTCCAGCACCTCATCCAGGAGTGCCTATTATCCTTAAATGACTATCCTAATAGACGCGGAGCGAGCATTATTGCACTGCCCGTCATCCCTTTTCACAGCCCCCCCGTCTAGGCTCACCGCCTCGCACCACCCTTCCCTGCTCCTCATTTGCATCGCCTCACCACCGAACTGCTGATGGAGGCATGGCACGCGGCCAGACTGCCGCCCGCAGACCTTTGTCACGGACCCACTGACTCGGTAAAAACTCACTAGCTTTCTGATTGACTAGCTCAGCCCACGTCTGACCCAATTCGCTGCCTGCGATGTCCTCCGGGTTTGGACTGGCAACATGAATGTGTCAGTGTCAACAAACCGAGACACTCTTTTTGAAAAGCATCCCCGCTGACTTTAAGACATTAAAAACCTTTCTGGACTGTTTCATGCCATGCCCGCTTCTCTCATTGAAATTCGGATCCATCAAACTTCCATTAATGGAGCAGGCTCCTACTTTTGTGTGGAGTTATTGAAACCAGCAACCCGCTGAGAACGAGTTACGGTTCAACTTGGGTTTGAACTTATTTCATGCCATGCATAAAAGAACAGGGTTACGCAAGGCTATTACACAAAACACTTGAAGGGTTCGTGTTTACTTGAGTCCATTTGTTTGTGTGGATTATTGATTTGCACATGACACGTTATTAATTTGTGCCATGTAGCAATAAAGCCTCAAGACTCTTCCTTTATTTACCCTGGTCAATGCATTCCTGTGCCACGAATGCATCATTTTGCGTTATCGAAGGCTGTCCATCATTTAAAAAAAAAAAAAATGGATCGGGCAAATAAATTAATCGGTCAATGCTTCAAATTAGTATCACCTGCCTGGCCTTTGGTTAGTCAAGTCATTAACAAGTCCGTAGCACAGCGCCAACCTCCCAATGAGGCAGTAGCCTTAATGAGAGATGAGCAGGGGGTCGAGCATCTCAATCCATCAGGCTCCGCCCTCTCTGTCGTTGCCACTCACCTCAGACACTGAGCCCGAGCTCAAGCGAGCGCGGCGGCGCTCACCGGGCCTGCTGGTGAGACATCGGCGAGCGCCAAGGGTGACAGTGACAGCTGGGCTGAGCAATGAGCTCCTGATTGATCCCCGGGCATGCCGGCAGAGGGATGGAGGGCGGGCAGAGGTGGTGCACAGGGTGCGAGCAGATGGATGCTGTGAGGACAAGTGATGGACGATCAGGCCAAAAGATCATAACACTTTCCGTGCTGTCCTCAACGCTTTTTAAGTATCAGGAAATGGGGGATTTGGGCTCCTGGGCTCCCCCTGTTGGTTTTTCTAAGCATCAGCAGTTTTTTTGGGGGGGAGGGACTGATAATTTGGTCGCGATGTAAGTGGCTGAACAGTGAACCATGAAACGTGTCTAAACACCATGACATCACCAGCCACTAAGACGCTTAAAACATTCATTGCTGTTATGTTGTTGAATATTACAAAAGACAAAACAAATTACCACCAAACTTGTACATGAGGTTCTGTGTTTACGATGGGGTTCTGTTCCTATGGTTAAACATGGCTCAAGCAAAAGCAAATGCACTTTTCGATCGTTACGGTATTTGACCTCAGCTAATGATCTCTGGAGCTGGTCTAGCATAACATCTGCCCACCAGACAAAAAAAAAAAAAAAAAGATGCCGCGGCCTCAAAATGCGAACTTGCCTCAGTGATGTTGCAGGCCTTTTTGAACAAAGGTCAACACATACTGGGTCCATTGCTGAGGGCTGTGTGGGCTGTCAAGAAGGCCTCAGATCAGATGTGCTTGGAAAGCATTGCAGCGTGCAAATCAAGAATGCGCCATTCCGAATCGGTATAATTGGGATTACAGCCGTTGAGTTTGCGGTCACATTTTGGATACGGCACAGGAAGAAGACGTGTCGTAAGGAGATAATTCATTTGACACAATCTGGATCGTCAACATACCCGTCCGTCTACACAAGTGTATCGTGTTTTTGCTAAAGCAATGGCTTGTGACAATAATTTTAGTTCCCATGTGCGCTTTTTTGTTTTTCTTTTTGCCAAACCTTCCTGCCCATTTGTGGTGTTGACTTACCCCACCATTAATTTACAGTGCCGCTGGATGTCGTGAGCTGGGGTATACTGCGACCCTTCTATGACCCTCAACGGGTGGACGGAATGACGGATCCACCCGTCCGCCCGTTTTAACGATACAGTCATCTGTCCCAGTATTCCAAGTCTGCTATCTAGCACTGAGCTCCAATTTAGAGAGGGACCAGTGTGCCATAGCAGATGTTTGCAGGTCCTCTAGAGATGCCATCTGGCTAATTTGGGCGGGGTGTTTCCTCGGCCCCGCGTCTGTTCTGTGTGTTAAACTGCTGCTTTGTATTTCGTAGGATGCTTGCAGTCTATTTGGAGTGTGCGAGCGAATCGCTGCACCTTGTCTGTACTCATTCCCGTGTGCGGCGATGGCCTACTTCTACGACCTTGGTCAAGAGCCTCTCATGTTGCGCGGTTACCGTTTTAGACGGACTTGAAACCCATGGGAAGTTATGTCACACTGAATGTAGGCCAACTTAAATGTCGAGCCATGTTACGTGATGTCGTTCCGGTGGGGTCCTTGACGGTGTCTTGTTGTATGTTTGTTTGAGCAGGCCATGTCAGATTGTAGCGATTAGACGGGAAATGCATCTTGCTCATATTTCAACCAATGTATGCTGCTCAAGTGGACACAGGGGAGTGAAATATATGGCCCTATATATATATATTAGGCCAACTTAAATGTCGAGCCATGTTACGTGATGTCGTTCCGGTGGGGTCCTTGACGGTGTCTTGTTGTATGTTTGTTTGAGCAGGCCATGTCAGATTGTAGCGATTAGACGGGAAATGCATCTTGCTCATATTTCAACCAATGTATGCTGCTCAAGTGGACACAGGGGAGTGAAATATATGGCCCTATATATATATATATTTTTTCTTTTTACCCTGGGTCTAACATTAAATGACAGAATACAGGAGATATATGTCCTCACTTTTCTCAAAGTTACTTTCATGGCCTGGAAAGGTAGCGTAGCCAGAAGCACAGTTGCACTTTTAAAGTGTCGTCCTGATGCCCACCGGCGACGGATGTTTGTCACTCAGGGAGCAAATTGAGTTTGCATGCCTTGATGACTCATTAACGTGGCCTTTGCAGCACCTCATCAACGCCACGTTCCATTTTTCTGCGAATAGTTTCCTGTCGAGGGATGTCAGGCAGTTATTTTTTTTCTGTGTGGTTTGAGAGTACTGAAGCACTCATCTGTCAATCCCGTTGCGTTGTCAGAGCTATACCACTAAGCTGTAGAATTTGCTTAGTAGTCGTCACAAATCATTTTCAGCCTTTTCAAAGTTGACCTTTTCAGTGCCACACAAATCAGGAAATAGACAGTCTAGGACAACACGAATGTGGCATGCGGTGTGGAATATGAGTGGGGGGAGGTCCGCATTGATACTGTGGCTGTAATCAAATGGTTACAATTCACCAGGGGTCCGTTTCAAATAGACTACAACAACCGAGGAAGAACAGATGCCGCAAACCTGACTGAAAACACAAATTCGCCAGCCAGGCCAGTAAATGATGCCGCGCTAGTCAAGGTAATGTATTCACATAGCCATCCCTAGTTAGCTTGACTTTTCAAGGGCGGAGTGGTCACTGATCCAAAATGTGACATTTCCGGAACAGTAGCCACTCGCCACATTAAAAAATAATGAGCCAATTTATCATAGCATGTCTTGTTCTGTGTGTCACATCACTATTTGTCAATCATTTGTTGGCCAAAGAAGGCTCCGGTATCACCGCCGCTTCCAACCCTCCTCAGTTTACGGCACTTTCTTCTCAGGCGCGTTTATGAATGGGGAGCTCCCCTTTCATATGATTGCATTGAAGTGGAGAACCATTTCTTTGTCGTCATCCCCATCCAAGCATTGAAAAGAAGTCAGCGGGGAATTTGTATTTGGGATCTTGCGTCAGTCTCTGCAGTCTTTGTTTCCAGTCTTCTGAGAAAAAAAAAACAAAAAACGATGTTCAACTGTGTAGGCAATACATTTCAAATGCAATACACAGCGGGCGAGCATGTTTGATGAATTGTGATCAATTTTACCGCCGTGGTGGTTCAAAGTACAATTTGTGACCTGGGCCCTCGGTCCACCAGCACCCTTTCCTCGCTGTACATCGTAAACTGCTGTTGGCTGCTTTGTTTATTTAATCCCGGCAGACTTTTGTTTCTTCTGTTCTTAAATATATAAACTGCTTTGTTTGTACAGTCCCAAAAGAGTTGGCAGTGTCATTTTCAGGCAGAATAGTTTATTTATTTTTTTATTTATTTTATTCTAACTCTCATAGTTTCAACCCCCCATGGAGCTTTTCAAAAGAAAAAAACAACCAATGTATGGCTCAAGTGGACACACAGGGGAGTGAAATATATGGCCCTATATATATATATTTTTTCTTTTTACCCTGGGTCTAACATTAAATGACAGAATACAGGAGATATATGTCCTCACTTTTCTCAAAGTTACTTTCATGGCCTGGAAAGGTAGCGTAGCCAGAAGCACAGTTGCACTTTTAAAGTGTCGTCCTGATGCCCACCGGCGACGGATGTTTGTCACTCAGGGAGCAAATTGAGTTTGCATGCCTTGATGACTCATTAACGTGGCCTTTGCAGCACCTCATCAACGCCACGTTCCATTTTTCTGCGAATAGTTTCCTGTCGAGGGATGTCAGGCAGTTATTTTTTTTCTGTGTGGTTTGAGAGTACTGAAGCACTCATCTGTCAATCCCGTTGCGTTGTCAGAGCTATACCACTAAGCTGTAGAATTTGCTTAGTAGTCGTCACAAATCATTTTCAGCCTTTTCAAAGTTGACCTTTTCAGTGCCACACAAATCAGGAAATAGACAGTCTAGGACAACACGAATGTGGCATGCGGTGTGGAATATGAGTGGGGGGAGGTCCGCATTGATACTGTGGCTGTAATCAAATGGTTACAATTCACCAGGGGTCCGTTTCAAATAGACTACAACAACCGAGGAAGAACAGATGCCGCAAACCTGACTGAAAACACAAATTCGCCAGCCAGGCCAGTAAATGATGCCGTGCTAGTCAAGGTAATGTATTCACATAGCCATCCCTAGTTAGCTTGACTTTTCAAGGGCGGAGTGGTCACTGATCCAAAATGTGACATTTCCGGAACAGTAGCCACTCGGCACATTAAAAAATAATGAGCCAATTTATCATAGCATGTCTTGTTCTGTGTGTCACATCACTATTTGTCAATCATTTGTTGGCCAAAGAAGGCTCCGGTATCACCGCCGCTTCCAACCCTCCTCAGTTTACGGCACTTTCTTCTCAGGCGCGTTTATGAATGGGGAGCTCCCCTTTCATATGATTGCATTGAAGTGGAGAACCATTTCTTTGTCGCCATCCCCATCCAAGCATTGAAAAGAAGTCAGCGGGGAATTTGTATTTGGGATCTTGCGTCAGTCTCTGCAGTCTTTGTTTCCAGTCTTCTGAGAAAAAAAAAACGATGTTCAACTGTGTAGGCAATACATTTCAAATGCAATACACAGCGGGCGAGCATGTTTGATGAATTGTGATCAATTTTACCGCCGTGGTGGTTCAAAGTACAATTTGTGACCTGGGCCCTCGGTCCACCAGCACCCTTTCCTCGCTGTACATCGTAAACTGCTGTTGGCTGCTTTGTTTATTTAATCCCGGCAGACTTTTGTTTCTTCTGTTCTTAAATATATAAACTGCTTTGTTTGTACAGTCCCAAAAGAGTTGGCAGTGTCATTTTCAGGCAGAATAGTTTATTTATTTTTTTATTTATTTTATTCTAACTCTCATAGTTTCAACCCCCCATGGAGCTTTTCAAAAGAAAAAAACATTTTGTGGGCCCGCCTTTGTTGACTCACTGTTTTGGTCATTATTTTGTTTCAAGTCGTCCTTTGACTATATCAGCCACCCAAATAAAACAAAGTCTTCTCATTTTGTTGTCGGATTGATTTCATCCTTTGAAACGCGGCATCTGACAAAACAGGCGCGAGTTCAGTCGCTTATTTGATGGACTATAAAGTAACCAAATCCCCTGGCCAGCTTCTACCGTTTTTATCATATGAATAAATGTGTGGCCGGCGGCCTTGCGCAATGTTAGTACTGTGTGAAAAATAGGTGTATCGTGACAAGTAGCTGCCAAGTGGTTTACACGTGTGGCTCATTCAGACATTTTGTAATTCAGGTCATTTTTATGTGTCATCCACTGACAAATGCCCCATTCAGTACTAAAAAAAACCTTCGGCCTGCTCAGGTTTCAAGTGACCCTAAAATGCAGTGGAACGACTTCGGTGCCCGTGTCCAACTTCGGTAGGTTGGTTTTTCAACCGCCCCTCTTCATCACCTTCACGGCGCTCAGATTATGACATCACGAGAGACCCATTGCGAGGCTTCCAGCAGGATGTTCTCAGAGGCGAGTGTCCTCGGCACGTTAGAACAGAGGGACTGCGAGACTGGATGACTCACAGAAAGGCATAGAACTGGACATATTTGGAAAATGGCGGCGTGATGGATCAAACACCTGTCGTGTCGGCTCCTTGTTCGAGAACAGCCGGTGGTGAGCAAAGTCTTGAAATATTGAACGTTTGGGGCAGGTGAGAAAGTCAAACGAAGTTAATTCGGAAAAAGTTCGCGGGTTTTAGATTCACCCGAAAATGGACTATTCCTAATGTTTTGTCAGAAGGGGTACAGTGTGTCACGGGCTTCTACCTTGGCCCATGTCTTCCCACGCCCCTCCCTTCGAGTTCTAATGGAAATATGATCGTGTCGTATTCGGTTTGCTTTCCCAGTATTTATTGCGTAATCCCGCTCACTGACAAACAAACCGCGGGGATACAAAACCTCCTTGGCTGACGGCGCAAAGTGGAATGAAAACAAAAACCTCTTTGGTCGTGTCATTATTGGATTGCTTTAGTGGAACGGCGTAAAGTAAAAAAAAAAAAAAAATACTGTGGGACTCATTAACCTTTACAATTTGGGCCCGTGCTGACGACTGAACAAATTGAAAGGAGGGGGAAAAAAAACCCTACAGCTTTGGTGACAATGAAAGCAATCATTGCATTTAGTGCTGCACTCTGTGTGGTTAATTTGAATTATAACCGTGCCTGCCTTTTATCTTTATTGTTTGTCATTCCGGGTGTAAAAGGCACGCCGTTTCATTGTTCCCGCTGAAGAAATATTGTATTTGTGGCCGACATCGTTGCCGACGCGCTCTTATACGGAATGTCTCCATATCCTTTTTTTTTTTTTCTTTTTTTTTTCAACCAGGATACCAGAGGGTCAGGCCGACGTGGGCTCGCTGGCCGCGGGGAGGCTGCGCTCGCTGGAGGACCAGCTCACCCGAGCCAAGCAGAAGATCCACACCTTTCAGAAACTGACAGGCGATGGTAAGCCTTCCTCTGATGAGTTGGCAGGCAGTCGAACCTCAAAATATGAAAGGGCTTAGTCTTGGGAATACTGTTTGTTTTTCTTTGTTTGTTTATTATTCCTCTCATAGCCACAGAATGCTCTGTGTGTGTGTGTGTGTGTGTGTGTGTGTGTGTGTGTGTGTGTGTGTGTGTGTGTGTGTGTGTGTGTGTGTGTGTGTGTGTGTGTGTGTTTGGTTTGGTTAAAATAAACAAAAATACGTGTAAACAGTGAAAAAAAATTATTTAAAATAATAATCATATCACCACTGAAGTCATGATGAAAGTAAAAAAATAAGATAAAAATAAATATAATCCACGTATTTCTGTTTCACTTTTTTTAATAGAGCTGAGATTTTTATTTTTATATATATATATATATATATATATATATATATATATACACACGGTGATCCTCGCTACTTCGCGGTTCGTTTATCGCGGGTTCAATGCATCGCGGATTTTTTCAAACATATAAAAAAAAATTTAAATTGTTGTTTTTTAATATACATGGAGTACAGTACTGTATATGTTGCTCTATGTGACTCGCTGTTGTTTTGCAGCTTCTCGCGGACCGTTTGCGGACTTATAAAAAAATTTTTTGTTGTTTTTCTTAACCTGTTTATGTTAATTGGTCACTACTTCGTGGATTTTTGTTTATCGCGGGTGGTTTTGGTCCCCATTAACCACGATAAACGAGGGATTACTGTATATATACATATACACACACACACAGACACACACACCAGAAATAGTCATGTGCTTTTTGGCGCGAGACTCTGCAAATATTAAACCGGCGCAGAACGCGGTGGGTTCGATGTATGTTTACCTCTCTAAGCGATGGTCAGAAAGTGCAGGAAAGCTGTCAGGTGAGTGCGGGGAAGGTGTGAATAAAGCGGAAGCGCTGTGAATGCCCCCAGTGGCACAATGCGAGTGAAAGGGAAGAGAGGAGACAGACACGGAGAAAATAAAGAGGGACATGCGAGCGTGAAGGGCAGCGCAGGGTCAGCCTTTCCATCTTGCCGCAGGGGAAGACGACGCTAAAAATACCCTCTGGCTTTTTTTTACCAAGTGAGGGAAAGAGAGAAAAGAGAATGCCAGATAGCAAGTAAAAAAAGAAAAAGAGAGATTTTTCGTCTCATCCTGCTGGAGGCCGTCTTTCCTTCTGCCTCCATTTTTTTGCATGTGTTTCTCGACGCAGAAACCAGAGCAGGCAGCTGTGTTATCCATGAGGGGTGTTACTCCACATTGTTTGGCTGGGGTGGGGTTTTTCGAGTTCCTTCCTGTTGTTAGATGTGTGCGTGAGGAAAAATATGAAGAGAATCCAAGAGAAATGGACCTACGAGGCAGAAAGCACAGCCATCAAGGGCTTCCTTAATGAGGTCAAAGTAACACCCAAGGACACAAAATAAAAAAGCTTTAAAGGTTCTTTTCTGAAACCTCCTTCGTTTTGTTAGCCTGCTTATGCCCATGTCATGTATTGCACAAACATTAAAAAAAAAAAAAAAAACTGGCATGGTCTTCCAATTTACTTCAACTCGATTCCCTTTGAAGTGTTCTCTTGTTATGGTTGGTTTTGAGCTTTTTAAAAAAAAAAAAAAAAAACGAGAGGCAGAAATACGCCGAAACTCTCCTGACCGATTTGGGGAACCAGCAAAGGTGAGCATGCGTCATGAATGCGTTCAGATTTCCGGGTCAAGAAGATTTGTCACATTTTCAAACACGCTCAATATTTGCATGCGACTACCATTGATACGGAGAAGGAAAATCTCTAACGAGAGATTGCTGCTTGTGTTTCTGATCTCGCGACAAAATTTGGTTCGTTGGTTCATCGACCATCTGTCGGGGGGGGAACAGATCAGTGGGGGTCCTTCGGCTCTGTGGGAAGCTCCATATCCGCGCTGTACTCTTCTTAAGAACCAAAGGTTCATTGATTTCTTTATTTCCTTTTCTTCCAAGCCATAAAACACGGTACAGTCGCCCTAACTCAGTTTCCCCGGGCTGGAATTCTATTTCCATTCATTTTAATGGCGAGAAATGACTACGCTTGGCAAACAAAAGACTCTTATCTATTATCGCTGTACTGCTTATCCTGTTCCGGGACGTGAGGTGGAGGAGCATATCCCCAGCAGACTGGGCAAAAAGGCAGGCCACTCCCTGGATTGCTCACAAGTCAGCCAAGCGAATCACTACACCGTCAGGAGTGATGATGAAAGAACAAGACATTTTATCCCAGAGGTTTGCAGTTAAATAAAATTGCCCCCCCCCACCCCCTCAAAAAAAAAAGAGTGCAAGAAAAGGAGAATCGAAAGGCAAGCAGACCTTAAGGTTCTGTGAAACTTCCTGACATTCAAATGCGTATCACAGAAGTTGCAAACATCGATTTACTGCTTCCGACTTGTTTTTTTTTTTTTTTCCCTGCTAAATATGAGCCCGTCATTTACCAGTCCGAAAAATGATTTGGTCACGCTCTACCTCCATTCAATTTGTTTGTGGGTTTTGTGTCTGTGCTGCGCGTGTATACACAATGACAAGTGTTTACAACAGCCAAACTTTTTATTTATTTTTTTTAGGCCAAAATCTTCCCATTTACTTTCTCTATGACAAGTGTTTACAACAGGCAAACTTTTTATTTATTTTTTTTTTAGGCCAAAATCTTCCCATTTACTTTCTCATTTGATTCCCACAGCAGCCTGTTTACGTCACGGACTCGTTTGGCCTGGATTCACTTCGCTGGCTGCTGTTTTGATATCCATTATGCCCCCCATTGTTCCATGACTTGGAGCCACTGATGGTGTAGTGGTTCACTCAGCGGCAGGGCTTTGTTTACCCTAAATTTGTTGTCTTATATCCAATCAAGAGGGTTTCATTGCACAATTTCAGTGGCCATCCTCATTCCAGGGCACAGCGAAGAGTAATGTACATGTCAAAAGCGATATTTAATCTGTACTCACTTTCTATTCATGCATTCAGCGCTGATAAGAGGTCAGTGCGCTCTTACGGTAACGCGCTCCGTCCACAAAATAAACAGTCCTTTATTCGCGCATGCCATTGAACGGAATCAATTTACCTCTGACGACCATTGACTGTAAATAGGTCAAGCGTTTATCAGGCCTTAGATGTAATATTAACTACAATGGCAGCAAGTAAAGCGCTGATGTGTGCCTTCACTAAACGTCAGTCGGTGCCGTGCAGTCGAAAATGCATCATGTGCAAGGCAATACTCTTCCACCCCAGTCCACTAGGTGGCAGTAAAATAATTACAGAGCTGCACACAGCAAGCTTTTTTTTCACCCCCACTTCTTCTGCCAGATTGTTTGTCCTGCCACACAAGGGACAGAGGCCCCAAATATTTATATTCTTTGGACTATATATATTTGCTAACCCTGCTAACTAACAAACAAATGAACCATCCATTGACAAAGTAAACCTGACAAAGGCTCTGACTGCACTTCGTATATATTCATTATCAAAACCCGGCCCTGCTGTGAAGAATCCGTCTCTCCTGTTTTCAAGCGTACATGCTTGAAAGTCGCACATCTCTCGGCCAAATTAATGAAGTGGAGAAGTGCAATTTGCCATCTTGCACTCCCGCGGGTGGCAAATTGCAATTTGAGCTACAAGAGGGTCTGCTCATATTCGCAAAACGTATGTATGTGCATGATTTAGTGAAGCTGCCGAGCACTCGGCTGCTGTTCCCAATTCTCGCGCAAAGTTTAGAAATTAGGACAGGCACAAGTGGATGTTTGAGTGGTTGCTAAGAAAGTGGTTGCTAAGTTCAAAGGTCACAGACTCACTCTGTCTAGATGGCAGACTTCCACTCAGTGGGTGCAACTTATCCAAGTGATTCATTGTAATCCTGCTCAAGTGGCTTATAGAGGCCATTGTCTTAGTCATTGCAGGCTAAGCAGCTTTTCAAAGACTGATTCCTCACCCCCTAACACACACCCACATACACGCACACACACACGACTTACGTGGACCTTCATGCACGTTCCTTTTTTAAGTCGCCTGAAGTGCTCCAGGCAGAGGCTAAAAAGCTCAAGTAAAGAACACCTCAATGTTTAACTCCAATTGCAAATGTTTTCAACGTACATGAAGTAGCACCTCAACAACCTAAGCTAAACTTAGCTCCCTCATCTCTGGGTTCGAGATGCAACATACTTCCACCATTTTAGCGTCTTCAATACATATGGCTCGGCGAATTGATTTTAGGGTTGTTTGAAAAGAAGTGAGAAAGTCAATTCCATTTCTCCAGAAAATCTCTCCAATAGTTAGGATGTAGATGACAAATGAAAAGGGACTTAAAGTAGACTCCTGGGGTGTAACTAAGCCATATGTCATGTGTTGGTGTACCTTTAATGAGATTTGGCCTATTAAGTGACAGCAATAGCTTTGACTCAGTCGTCTTGGTGAGTGTGAGCTTCTTCTCCATGCTCCTTGTGTGTTTTCATTTTCTATTTGTGCACGTGACTGTCCTGTTCAGTATACAGCTGAAAGTACATCGGCTATTGCCACACTCCTTTTTTTTCCACTTCACTCGGCGGTGGCCCCTCTCAAGCTGCTGGCACCTCTAATTTATGCTCTCAGCACAAAGCAAAATATCTCAAGTGACGGCTCGAAACCAGAAGAAATGATAAGATGGGCCACCCATAATTCAAGACACCACTTTCCTACTTTTTTAATGTTTGTCAATATTTTGAGGCTTTGGTTTGTCTAACCGCTGCTGTCATTCACAGCCTAATGGATGGCGCAGGCACACTGCAGTCCGATAATTGGTCACCAGAAAATAGTGGCATTGATGTGACACCGAGAACGGCATGTGCAGAACACAAAAGGCGCATTTTCCAAACAGAGCTTTTCTTGTAATCAACAACCACGTGCCAGAAAGAAAGAACCCCATTGATCTCTGCGGTTGTTCTTTGTGTAAATGTCTTGTCCCTTGTGTAAATGTCTTGTTCCTTGTTTTTTTTGGGGTTTTTTTTTTTTTTTTTTTTCCTTGTGTAAATGTCTTGTTCCTTGTTTTTTTTTGGGGTTTTTTTTTTTTTTGTCAAATTTGCTGGCACATAGTGAAAAGCCCGATCGGTTCGATGGAGATCTAAACTCCCCCACACTGTGATTCCAAAACAGTTTGATAGCATTTAAAATGCTTATAAAGATCATAAAATACTGCTGTACCCTTAAGAATGCAGTAACGTCGACGGCTTACAAACAGCAGATGTCACGACTCACCGGTTTGTGGGTTTGGTCACACAACGTTGGCAATGCAAGCCCAAAGGAGCTTAGATTTCACTTTCAGAGGGCAGTGTGATGCCATTATGGCCACCTGCAAAAAATCTTTTACAGAAGTAATACACAGCTTGAAACAGTCGCAAACCGAATTGCGTAGAAGTAGCAGTAACAACAACAACAAAAAATGGTGGTGTTTAATTTTTGATGGCAAGGTGTCAAGAGTACATTTCCAGTCCCAATTTACCGTGCAATCATCCTCTGAAGCTTGAAAACGTGTCTTTGTTTTTTTTTTCCCCCACTAGTTGGCAATCTGTTTCTGCGCTTTAAAATAAACCTCCAACGTTCCTCCTGAATTAGCGGGACAATCCTCTTCACTTGAACTCAGCACATTCCGTCATGAGCACTCAGGTGCATATGCAAACAAGCGTACTCAATTTCCTCATGTCTGCAAGGACATTGGCCCCTGCGCTGTTGGTAACGTCATTCGGTTGATTCACGATAGTCCCCTTTCGCAGCCAGCAAGGTTTGCTTTTGGCTTCCCGCAGTGGATCCCTGATGGCTCCCTTGTGCACACTCCTGGAAGGAAAATTGACATCCATTCACGGTCCATGGTTCCAAATTCTAATTGGGACAATGAGTAATGCTGGAGTCACGGTTTGTAGAGAGAGGCAATATCCACTGCGCTCCGGTGTTGAAATAGGACATTTCACTGCTTTGTGGGCGCCCGCGTCTTTGGACGAGCTACCAAATATCTGAATAAGACCTCTCAGACACACCGGATTTGACTGATTTGGGTCAAAGAAGTGAGTAATAAATTAAGCTTGCATAAGTGTGTGTTTGAGAGAGCATTTGTGATGTGTTTGCGTTCGCCTGTAGCGGCATACATCAGAGCTCGCGCTTTCGGGCAAGTTTCCGAAGAGGATGGCCACGATATTTGGCAGCGCGTGACATCTACACACATTTTCTGTCAGAGTCTTGCAGATAGGCAGATTTATCCCAGAAAGAGCTAAACAACCATATCATTGTGTTGTCACTCAGCAAGCTGTAGATAAAACATTTTGAGCCTGCGTGATATTGTATTTGCAGCCTTCCATCATCACAATATACTTTTTGGTACGTTCGGTGCCCTGCGGAGGATAGCAATAAACCCCTGCCCCTCCGTCTACCTGCTGTGGTTCAAAGAAGAGAATAATAAATCCGCAACCTTATTTTATGTTGATTTAATCTGTGTGCTGTGTGGCAACTTGTGCATGCCTGCCCCGGTTTGAAATCAGGAGAGATGAAAAAAGGGCCAGGAATAAGATCAAAGACATCTCCGTTTGCATCTTGTGCAAATATTCGCTTCGCTTTGCCAGCATCACAAAGACAAAATAACGCAGCTGTATGTGCAAGCAGGGGCTACTACCACAGTGGAATTTAGACCTAATTGATTCTTCCGCAACCAAGCTTGTAACTCAAATCACTTGAATTTCAAATCAGTTTTCCCCATTCAAGTTAATTGAAATGCCATTAATCCGTTCCCCGAAAATGTATCACGTGCAATCACAGCACAAAGCAAAAAAAAAAATCTGCCAAGCCACAGCTCGCTTCTTGAAAAGCAAAAACAAGCATTTTTCAGCCATCAGAAGGTGTTAAAATGAAAGAGTTTTCAGTAAGGACTGCAGGTTGTCATGACACATCAAAATTGGAGTTCTTCCTGTGACTAAGTTTAGCCTAATTAAAAAGAAAATTGGTATAATCCATTGTAGCTGCTTTTATACAGCATGTAATGTTTACCTATCACACATGGTAATTGGATATCACTGCAACAAAATTGTCAACTGAGCTAATAGTACAAAGTGATCACCGTACACCGATGGTTGTTCAAGGATGTTGTCAGACAGAGTAGCAATATAACGTCAAGTAAAGGCCAGCTGAAGTATCATTAAACATTATACCTGTCTGACTGCACACAATGCCGACAATAAATGAGAAGAGCAATATAATACAGAGAAACCTCTCAGGACTTGGTAATATTCCAAACACAATCAACGTTCGATGACTTTCATAAATAGATTTCTTATTCTTGTGGAATAGTGTATGCCAATATGCTGTAGTGGAGTCCTAGCTACGCTCAGTGTCTTAATACTGCGGTAATGTTAGTCGCTTTTCATAGAGGTTAAAAAATGCAAGCTTGAGGGTGTTATTATTCTGTCGATATGTGTTGCTGCACTGTTTGTGTTTCAATATGAGTAGCTTAAAGGGTAACACCACTGCATAGGTCCTAATTGTTAGCCCATGTGGAGATGGTGTTTCCCATTCTCTGTTCAAATATACAACATTTAATTCCTTCTGTTGGATGTTTAGTTTGACGGTAACGTTCAGCTAAATGTCAACAAAGAACTTGAAGCTTCTTTTTTTTTTTTTTTAATCATGTTTTCTACCAGACTATTGCTTGTTCAGTGAGTTGAGTCGCATTGAATGTATAAGAGTGAATAGTTGAAGTGGATAAGCGGCTCGTATCTAAAAAAAACTAAAACGTAAATCACGTCACTTGTATCTTAAGGCACCACTGTATTAGAGTACGTCCTGCATGTGTGGTAGTACAATATTTACAACTTGTTTTTTTTTGGAGGTCTTTTTTGTTTCCATGTTCTGGTACCGCTTTTATTCAGCAAAGCATTGGCAAAAATGAATTGCCTGTTACGCTGCCAGCTGGTGAAATAATTTGCGCTTGAACGAAACAAACAAAAACGCTGTGTTACATAAGCTTCTTGAATTACTTGAACGAAACAAACAAATAAAACAAAAACGCTGTGTTACATAAGCTTCTTGAATTTGTAATTAGAGGTTTGTGGGGGGGGGCGAAAAAAATTCGCAGAGACCGACCTCTTATTGTGGTGGCAGGTCCATCATGGCAGACCTGTACTACCTCAGCCAAGCAGATGGAGTGGGTGAGTGGCGGATGAAGGAGGCCAAAGACCTGTCGGATCTGGTCCAGAACAGAATCACCTACTTGCAGGTACTTGGAGACCACGCGTGGCGCTTCTTTCCTCTCTTTCTCCCTCACATTTACTCTCTGTCTTTCATTTCCTCTCTCTCTTTCCCTCCGTCACACTCTCGTACACCCTCATTCGCGACGTGTCAAAACTCACTCACGACGAGAAACGTTCTATCTGGCGGGCGAGCCGTGCAAATGTTTTTCTCTTTTGCATACGCTTGCCAAAGCCCTTGTGCATTTTTGTCACCATCTTTCACACCTGCTTGTCTCATTTGCACCAATCCATAACTGTCGCCGTCGCTTTCCGACAAGGTGCAGGTGAGAGGCGTGATAGCGCACTGTCTCACCACTCAAATTCTTGACTGCTCGACTGCTTGTTGCTCGTCGGCGTTTATGAAAACGCACTGAAAAAAAATGTTGACTGGGTCTGCTCGTGTGGGATGGCGTGTTCTTCTACCCATGCTTGCTTGGGTTTTGTACACAAAGTTTCCACGTATATTTTTAGGTATAGACCTGTTATTGTCCTGTAGGGTGCTAACGATTGTGATAGGAGCAAATATAGGGAGTTCTGTTCCTAAAACAAACGAACGTAACCCTAAGTCATAACCCCAATAAATATTTTCATTCAAAAACACTTCCACGTTATAAATAGAAAACCATCGAACGATAAACACCAAGTACAGCTGCAGCGGAGCGCGCCGTCCTGTGCCGTAAAACGTCATCTTACGCTTCTGAGCAACCTGTGTCAAATCGTACCGCAAACTGTTCATAACCGCAATCAACATTTATGAACTAAACAAGTAAATGAACCCTGATACATTTTCTCGAACTAATTTGGGCTAATGTAAGACAACAAATGTCACGGCACTCGCGATACTGTAACTGTACTGCAAATGCGCGGTGGGCTGGAATCAAGAAAAGAGTTGGCTAGTTTTCAAAAATAATTCCTGGGCCTCACCGATGTACACGGTCGATGCCGCTTCCAGCTCACCACACACATGCAGAGTGGCACGAGGACGTTCACCCCCCCCCACCCCCCCACCCCTGTCGGCACGCTCCCGTTCCTCCGCGGCGGCGCCGCTGTGTTTTGGGTGCCACGCTGCGCCCTACAGCATTAATGAGCCGGCATGTTTGATGAAGAGGACCGAGTCAGCCTGGCTGGGCGGAGACAGGCCCACTAACAGCTGCTGTCACCGCTGCTGAGGGATCGCGCCGCTCCACCAGCTGCCATTACTAATTTATCACACACAAACACAGACATGGCTATGCACAGATGGGTTCACGCGCACGCACGCACACACATACACGCACACACCCACACGCACCCACACACCCACACCCCACCCC